CATTTTTTGCGATTAAGGGGCACTCCTAGTGTGAAATTTTAAAAAAATTGATTTTTTTTTGTGTATATTTTGATAGTCTTTATCTTTAAAAATAACATACTGAAATTTCAAATAAATATTTTAAATAGTTTTAGAATTACAGTGTTCTAAAGAGTAGCTGCTCAGGGATTAGAAAGCAATCATTTTATCTTTGAACGCGGTTTTTCTCAAAACTACATTTTTTAAATTGGCTGCAGTTGTAATTCGAAGAAGAATCATCCGATCGTTTTGATTTTTTGTCTGCTTATTTCGTATATGTTTCTCTGTACAATGACCTAAAAGTTTTTCGATTGTATAAAAAATGTAATTTCGGCGGGCCAAAAATCATCAACATTTTGAGCAAAATTCGATTTTTTTTTAAAAAGTCTGCCATTTGTTTAAATTTCAATTTTTTTCACAATTTTAGGTCATTGTATAGACAATACTTTCTAGATTAACAGTATTTTTTTTTTATTTCATCCACGGTGAAGGCCGGAATCACTGCAGCCGTTTAGGCCCTTTTTTTTTAGTGACTTAAGAGATAGCGAATAACTCGCTGAAAATTACCTTTTTTCATTTGAAAATTTTAGTGAATATTCGTTAATTATGTATAAATATATCCTTTAAATTTTAAAATATTTCATGCAGTAGTTTTCTTTAAAAAAAATTCCCAAAAATCACCTTTTTTAAGGCGGTCACACTAGGTGTGCCCCTTAAAATTATCTTTTTGTCATAACAATGAAATTTCTACCTCAGAAGTTTATTAAGTTTAATGTTTGTTAAATCAAATGTATTTTATTATATGTATATTCTTCTTCCATTTTTTTTCTTTAGTTTTTTCATTTTGTGTGTGTGTGTGTGATTTAGAAATATAATAATCTTCTTTTCCTTACGATACTAGATAAATCAAATGTTATGGAAAAAAGGTAGTAAAAGAGAAGATAATAATTCTATTGCAATTTACTATAAATTTTCTATGTCTTTTATTCGATCTATAATTTGAGATAAATTATTTCTACTTGATATTAACGTCGAAGGGATTATCTTAACTATATAGATGAGCAAACTGTTTTATAATTAATCTGTTACCTTAAACAGTTTTCCTAAGTTTTTTTTTTTTTTTTTTTTAAATTTAATAACTCTCTTAGTTTTACAAATTTGCATATATAAAGCAATTTTACAGAGCGAAAGAAAATCAGTTTTCACAGCCTTGATCCTCACTCTTCGACGTATACTATACATTTAATTATTTTTTACGAGATAATAAATTAAATATATTTAATAACACAAAAATCGGACGAGATCTTACAATTTTCTCTGTTGATTTTTTAAATTAAATTTTCAAAAAGTATTTGATCGTTTTTATCATTTAATTAAAAAAAGAAGAAAATTTATTAATAATATCAGTCACAAAGCGCACAAAAATATAATCCATCGAAGAGTAAGATACATTCTTTTATATTTCATATTTCATTGAAATAATAATGAAATATAAATTATATTCGTAATGTATTAGGAGTATTATTTATAAAATGAAACCCCCATATATATCTAATACAAAATGGATATGTTCGAAATAGTCGAATATTTAAAATTCAATGATTTCTCGGACATGTAATCACATCAGTTACAAATACTTACATAACACATATTTGAAAAATTAACATTATAATTTTGTAGGGAATTCATCATTAGGAATCCTTATATTGCACAATATTGACATCCGCAATACTCTAAACACCATAATTAATTCCACAATAGTATGAGAAAGATATCTTCAAGTCGATGCTGAAATTCTTAAATATTAATTAGGTACACTTAGCATCATGTTACAATAATAGAGACCTTTCTATATTATTTACAATTATAGCGTCTATCATTATTTTTAGCAAAATTGAAAAACATTGAAAAATTTGATTTCCATTTTTCATCATCATCAACACTATTCCTCATAGGATATTTTTGACAATATCGCATATTAATGTTAAATAAATTATTTTATAGAAACTAAATTTGACAGACATAAGATGTTGTCTTACATATAAAAGTCTCTGTTTCTAAACATTATGAATGATACATTCTTTTTTTTCCATGTAGTATTATTTAATTTTAAGCACATAAAATGTCAAAATACTCTGTCGTGTTATTCTGTTTTGTTTGTTTGTTTGTAACATAACAATAAATGCTAAGGAACGTTCATAAAACGTGGACATCAATTGTCACTGATCTGTATTCCACGAAACACCACTTTAGCACCATGTATAACTCTATACGTCAAGAGAACAAGCATTATAAAGTTCTTACTAACATAAGTGTACCATTTAATCGAAATACTTGAAAGATTCATAGAATTCATCTATATATATATACTTGAATGTTGAAAAAATGTTTTTGTCAAAATTTCGATTACAGGTACATGGAATAGTCATATATAGTATATACACTTTTTCACTAACGACTCTTATACAAATATGTTCACTAATACGAAATGGAGGTAACGAAAAAGAAAAAGTAAAATAAAATAAAAAAAAGAAGAAGTTACTTTATAAGAAAATCACTAAAGTAATTCACATTATGGTAGAGGCCAAGGTAATCCGGTGAAATCAACAGGTCCACCTAAACCAGCATCAGCTTCCAGAAGACTCATGATCACAGCCATAGCTGCTTCGTCATTTCCATCGGAGGGGACTGGATTTGGGGACTCATTAATGGTAGTCCCACCGATCATTTCCATCATATCCTCGTCTGGTAACGGTCCTAAAAAGAAGTATATTTAACGTTGCGCGTGGTTTTTACTATTTGTATCCAAAGAGAATAATTGTATATAGGAACCGTGCAAGATTTTTATTCAGTGCCCGTTAAAAGTTTTTCCACAAAAACAAAAAAACAAAAAAACAAAAAAAAAAACAAAAAAAGAACTACAAAAAAACTAAATCCGTATATACAATATTATCGGTAAAAAAATTAATTATGAAAAATAAATATTGTCCATGAACATGCATATATATGCGTGTATGCGAGTGTTATTATGTTATACATATATTTCCATGATCATGCACATAAATCAATATGTTGTTTGCTTTCATAAATTATTTTGTCTTCTCCTTTCTATTTTTGTTCTTTCCGATCTACATATTTCTATTCTTCTCTTCTGATAAATCCGGCATTCGCACTACACACCAATAAACGACTCCTAGAGACAGTAATAGCTATGACCTTGGTCGTTCGCGATGCTGTTGAGTTGAACGTTGTTGGCTACATGGTTGTACGTGGACGTTGGGTTGCTACTGCTGTTATCAGCACTTATTCCTGCTTGTGGGACCTCGTGAATTCTTTTTGGTGAAGCGGTGGTCGTAATCTGCGACTTAGGTCGGAAAGATGATCCCTAGTATCAATTGTTATAGATAGTTGGGCTCTTAACACATGTCCGTATAATACATATATTTATATTTTTATGAAATAAAATGCAATTATATAATTACCTCGGTATTTAACAATGCGGATTCTACACCTGGGCATGGACTACTTCCCGAGGATGAATCTTCACCACGTCTTTGAAGATCCAATACGTTTTCCGCTATTTGTCGTCCAATTTTACTTACCTCTACATGACTCGTGATAAGTCTTTCCAAGCCGCCATTGCCTAGAATTAAAACAAAACAAAAAAAAACAAATAATTATTATCTATTGATAAGAATATATAATTTTAGAAAAATCTATACTTATCGTGGCATATATGATATATTTAAAATACTTACTTTGAGCAAAGTATTCATAATTTTCTTGCACGCTGGAATCTTCAGATTTATTCGTACTATTTCCAGCTTGTCGAATGTCACAACTTCAAAAATATAAAATATATAATTAAATAAAATATATTAAAATGATTATATATATAAAAATCACGTTACAAGAGACGAGACTTACTAAACGGCTGAGTTCTTGGCTATCAAATATTCAATATCTTTGGTCCATGGATTCTTAAAGGATTTCCATTCAGACTGTAGCCTCACAAAATTCGAACTTTTATTTCGAAACCTATAGACCTGAAAATAATGAATGCAATTATTTAGGTTAGTTAGGACCCGCATAGAAGATTATTATCATTTATTATTAGACTTACTTGGGTTGTAACACGCTCGGAAGATTGTAATGCAGCTTTGTGTGATTCTGCGAGGTGTGGTATATCATCGTGGTGATAATATTCATACATGCTCGTACCCAAAAGTTCCTGAGGGAGAAAACCAAGTACCAATGTGGCTCTAAAGATAGAAGAAAAATTATAATATTATTATTATTATTATTATTATTATATTCTTTACCGCAAAAAGATAGAGAAGAAGACTTCATTAACATTTGCGGTCATTCAATGAACGGCAAAATAATTTCCATCTTCCTCGTCATCGTTTTCTAGTCGTCCTATTGCAAAATAGTAGCTAATTCTAACTGACCTTTGATCCACGAATAAGAATTTCCCGTCCATGGCATGTCTCGAGATAAATTCTATCGTTCGAAGACGTGGTCTTCTTGGTGAGGTCGACGGTGTTGGAAGTACGCTTTGAATTCGACCGACTGCAACCAAACACGACAAATTGCAAGCTTCCCCATCGGTTTCTCCTTCTTGTTCTTCCAAACCAATTTTTGCTGGTGCCCATGACTTCAAGTAACCAGTACATTGTATCACGCAATACTTCCAATCTAAAAATATAATGATCAAACAATCAAATAATTGTTCAATATTTATCATTTATAATACATAATTCATAATACATATGTACATAATTATCTCATTTTAACGAGAAGAAATTTCAAATAAATTTCTATCTCCATATTTTTAAAAATTGATTCTTATTATAACAAAAAATAATAATTCGTATAAGTATAATAAAAAAAAAAGAAAAAAAAAAAATAGAAATTAAAAATAATATATTCATATGTGTATTTTATTATTTTCATATAAAAACGAAATTCATTCATATAAAAAAAAACCCATAACTTACACGAGTATAAAATCTATTTTACGTTCTAAGTATCAATTATCCAGGGTGTATACAAACATACACATACAAAGGATAGATACATAAAACGATAGAGGAAAAGTTATGCGAACCTACAACATTTCTTACCATGTTATTATGGGGTTTGAGAAAAAAAGAATTTTATTCCCGGGATTCGAGATAGTAATAACGATATTTCAAGTGATGCTACATGGTAGAACGCGCCAGCATTCGAAGTCCTTTCACCGATCATCAAGATTTTTCACCTTCGATGAAGAACTTTGTGTTACCTGAATTAATCTTTTCTCTCTTTCTCTTTCATTGAACGAAAGGAAACGCGAATTCCTTTCGTAATATATATTTTTCAAGTTAGTTAATGGTAACTTTGTGTTTATATACGTGTTATTTATGTGCGTATGTATATGTGTAATCACCTCTTACACATATTATATTTTTTTATTAATAAAAATATTCATTATATGACACTAACTAGTCAATGACATAGCTATGTTGGTGGATTATTTTAAAGACACTTTTTTTTGGGAAGGGATTTAACACACAAATCAGTCACTAACATTATGATAACTGCAATTGCATAGTCACCAATCTAATATAATTTTAATAGAAAAAATATAATAATCTTTTGAATACCAAATAAATGTATTGAATGTAATGAATGGCAAATGAAAATATTCCGAGCTTCTAATACACATTTCTATATATATAAGTATTTAAATATTTTAATACATTATTAGAAGTTCTAATGTAATTCTAAATATTCTCATATATTATTAGAATTCTAATATACATTTGATATAAGTATCTAAAATGTGGCATACCAAATTTGTTCTAATATACATTTGATATAAGCATCTAAAATGTGGCATACAAAATTTGTGTTTATTTTTATGATTTCTTATATTATTTGATATTGTGATATACCTAAAATAAATACGTTTTTATTCTATATACGTTGCGTTACTAAAAGGAATCCTTTAGATCATTGAAATCAGGCAATGATTAGAAAAATGAATTGTCATGAATCTAATATAATTTTAATAGGGAAAATATAATATTCCCTTGAATACCAAATAAATATATTGAATGTAATGAATTGCAAATGAAAATATTCCGAGCTTCTAATACACATTTTTAAAAAAGTATCTAAATATTATAATATATTATTAGAAGTTCCAATTTAATTATAAATATTCTCATATATTATTAGAATTCTAATATACATTTGATATAAGTATTGAAAATGTGGCATACAAAATTTGTGTGTTTATTTTTATAATTCCTTATATTATTTGATATTGTGATATACCTAAAATAAATACGTTTTTATTCTATATACGTTGCGTTACTAAAAGGAATCCTTTAGATCATTGAAATCAGGCAATGATTAGAAAAATGAATTGTCATGAATCTAATATAATTTTAATAGTGAAAATATAATATTCTTTTGAATACCAAATGAATATAATGAATGGGAAATGAAAGTATTTCGAGCTTCTAATATACATTTCTATATATATAAGTATCTAAATATTTTAATATATTATTAGAAGTTCTAATGTATTTCTAAATATTCTCATATATTATTAGAATTCTAATATACATTTGATATAAGTATCTAAAATGTGGCATACCAAATTTGTGTGTTTATTTTTATAATTTCTTATATCATTTGATATTGTGATATGCCTAAAATAAATATGTTTTTATTCTTTATACGTTGGGTTACTAAAGGGAACCTTTTAGTTCATTGAAATCAGGTAACGATTAGAAAAATGAATGGATGACCCGTTAAAGAAAAAAAATAAAAAACAAAAACTACTGTATAGTGTTGATTATTTAAAAGAAACGATAAAAATATGCGACTCAAACCTCTTTGGTAGTACAGAATAATTGTGAAAAGGTGTTCGTATAAAAGTGATTCGAATCCGTATAAGGGAAAATAAAAACAGACAATATTACAACTAACCGACATTTTGTTGTTTCTTTCGTCTGTGACAACCTGTAGTCGTGTCGGCTTCTTCTTTAACTTGTAACTCGTTGCATCTAACTCCTTCAACTTTACGTTTCATTCGACAAAAGAAGGATCTCCTAGCACCTGGACAAAGTCGGGACACGCCTTGCGGAACGTCAGTTTTCACTGGTAACATAGCTGAAAAAAAAATATTACAATAATATTTTTAGAAATCATCTCTTTCGTTAATCGTTAACATTACACGTACCATGACCGGTTGTACAATTTTTTTTCTAGAATTTCTTAAAAGTTATTTTAATTGTTATCGAGTGACACAAGAATTTTTATTGCAAAAATGATATATTTTTTGTTATTCGTATATCATAAAATATATGACTTTTTGAAGATTGGGTCATTTGATTTATTATAGTAGAAATAGTTATACATATAGCATTTTTTTTGATACGTTTAATGTTAATTAAATTTGATATTTATTGAATCAGTAATTATCGATATTTTTGATGAATATTTTAAACAAATGATCAAAAAATATATACAATAAAATAACGGTATACATCTCCTACATTAATATTCTACCTTAAGGCAACTCTTATGCAATCCTGTATCAACGTATAATCTATTACACAAATACTGTCCATCTATATTTATTAACATAATCCTAATCAGCATAATTATTTCTTGTTACAACCTATTATCGAATATATTACTTTAAGATTAATATACAAAGATATATGACAACGCGTAACATTGGATTAGGTTCGTATAGAATAAATAGAAATTTTGTAAATAACTTTTTAAAACATTTACTCGAAAAAGATTGAAAATTTTATTGGACAAACATGTTCGGGATAAAAAGAACATTTACAGAAATATATTAACTAAAATTGTTGAAAATATAAAAATATATAAAAAAACAAGGATATTCATTAAAAAGATAACAGTTTAAAAATGAAAATGTCAAATTATTAGTTTCCTGCATAAAAACAATAGATTTAAGTACATTGATGTTTGTTGATAGATGATAATTAGAGATAACCGATGATTGTGATGAATATTTTGCATCATCATCATCATCATCATTATCATCATCATCATGACAATTCTTGTTTAGTCTATTTTCTTTATTGAATGCAGGAATCCTTTCGTAATCGTTGGTTTATCTCTGGTAACACCGATTCGCAAAGATGTTTATCGACAAACGGTCTTGGAAGCAAATGTTGCAGGACGACTGACATTTCGTCGGGTGAATGTGGAAGAAAATCGTACTGAGTAATCTGCGTTATCCTGATCGACGCGTAAGCCACAGTCAGGTGAATGTCGAAAGGTGCTATAATTAATGGATCTTTGGGTCGAAAGTCAAACATGGATGTTTAAGGATACGGACAATTTTCTAACCGAATAATAATCAGAATTTTCTTTCTTGGAAAATACATGAATCATATTTCATTCATCGAAATTTGTTTTTGTTTTTTGCTTTTTTTAGTTTTATATCGATTTTTATACGAACCGTTGAGAATCAGAATGGAACAACCTTGTCAGCTGTGATATTGAAAAAACAAAAAGAAAAATGTTTTGGAAAATTATACAAATTTATATCAATTTGTTGTAGATCACATCGTTTGTTTTGAAACATTTTTATTTTTGTAGATTCAGATGTAGGTAACAGATTAATTTTATTCATGTATTAGTTTTATTACAAAATACCGAGTATTTTTGGTGAAAATGAAAAAATATTGGATAGTCCATTCTGATTCTCAATATGTCTCATATATTATATAAATATTATATATATATAATATTAATAATAAATAATTTTATAAGTTTATAATATAATTATAATATAAACGAAACACAAACAATACTACATTGCTGTTTTAGGCCTTTTTTCGAACTTTTTTTTATTGCAATGTATAATCAATCAAAAACAGATGAACTTTTGTTTAAAGTATTTTTTTGTCATGTTATAACAAGTACTTGAAAAATCGTGACTAGAGTTATGTGACATAGTAGAATAATGTTTTTGGATTTTTAAGGGTGTCAAATTTATCATCCCAATTAGCATAATTAACATTATTTACTAAAAAATATGTTTTTGATCGCTATGATTGGACTTACACGCCACTTTCAAAATCAATGAAATGACATTTTCAATTTTTTTAAGAAAACACACGTCCACAGGAAAAGTAAATTTTTCTTTGAAATAAAAATAAATATTATACACTTTTATGTTATATAAAATTAACAAAATCTTCAACTTTTATTCTCTTTGTTAAATAATTTTTAACATTAAAATTAATATTGTTTTATTAATTACTAGCAAAGCTAGTCTGTATTTAAAAAAATGGGATTGCTGTTTATTTTATCTTATCTCGATTGTTTTTTTTTATTGTAGAAAACCTCGATAAATAACATTTCTTAACAAAAATTTCAAAGAAAATAAACAAATGTTATAAAAACGTATGTGTTACAAAATACCGAGCTTAAACGTGTTTCATTAAAATTTGGTATTTTAAATGCTTCCTTTTAAAATTTCTTTCTTTTTTCAAAAACAGGGGTTACAAAATTTCGAAAAAAAAAAGAAAAAAATGAAATTAAACTTTTATACACACATATAAATAGATAGATTATTCAATCTTCTCCAGTTTGTGTGTGAGGAAAGAATTTAAAATAACTATGGTGTGCAGGTGGTATATAATGTAATAAATCTATTAAGTGTGTCCTTGTATTTTTTAGATTTATCAGTGGTCTCGTTTTTTTGTATAGTGATGTGCAAACTTGATATTATTAACATTATTTAAGAAATAATATATTTATGATCGCTATGATTAGACTTACGTCACTTTCAAAATAAACTTTTTCATCATTTCATTAACCAACGAATTTTCGTGTTACACAAAATATAAATTTTAAATATATTAATAAGAAGTTGCTTCAGAATGAAAAGATCATATAACAATGTAACTATTAAGATCAAAAATGTGAGATAAATATAAATAAAGTAATGATAAGACATTGTATTATAAAAAACTTTGTAAGTTGTGCAATAAAAATCTGATTATATATTAGGTCTACCGGAAAGTTCTGCCCGATTTTTTCTCCTCAAGTTTCAATCGATATAAACATGTTTATTTTAGTCATATATGACTATTTCTCGTTATCCTTGCATTTATACACATGTACTCTCCTAAATAAACTGAAAAAAAACCTTCTCGTGTCATTGGACAGTGAGAGGCGATCGTTGAAACATAATTACCAAAACGTTCATTTACGCTACTGTATTTTGTACGAACTTCAACAAGGAAGAAATGCTACAGAAGCGTGCCGAAATTTAGTATAAGTTTTTGGTTTATATACAGTTTCAGATAGAACGTGCAAAAAATGATTTAAAAAATTTGAAGCAGGTGATTTTGACCTTAATGATAAGCCACGTTTAAGACGGCCGTCATTGATCGATGACGACATTATCAAAGCTATGAGAAAGCAAAATCCATTTTTAACAACATCGGATATTGCAGAGAAGCTAAGTTCAACTCAACAAACCATTTCCGACCATATTCGGAAGCTATGATTGGTCTATAAATATTGCAAATGGGTGCCTCATCAGTTAAGTGAGAAAAATTTGAATGACCGAGTCGTCATATGCACATCTCTGCTTGCTCGGTACAAAAACGAATTTTTCTTTGATCGGATGATAACTGCTGATGAAAAATAGATTACATACGACAACATCGTGAGAATATGAGCATATTGCGAGCCCGGAAAGACTACCCTTTCCACTTCTAATCCGAGCTTGAACCTAAAGAAGAGAATGTTGTGTATATGGTTGGACATTCAAGGACCAATACATTATAAGCTTCTGAAACCTAATGAAAAGCTAAATTTGGAGAAATACTGTAAGTAAATGGATGATTTAAATAAAGAAATAAGAGAAAAGAGGCCAGCAATGTTCAATAGAAAGCACGTCATACCGGATTATGATAATGCCAGACGACATGCTTTTTTGACGACTCGTCAGAAAATCGCAGAGCTAGGCTGAGAAATTCTGTCACATCCACCATGCTCCCCAGACCTTGCACCCTTCGATTATCACTTGTTTTTCTCGTTGCAAAATTTTTTACAGGAAAAAAAATTCAAAACTGAAGATGATGTAAATCAAGCACTAGTTGAGTTTTTCGCCTCTAAAAAAAAATTATTAAAAAAAAATGGCATTTAAAAGTTGCTATCACACTGGCAAGAAGTCATAAGTAACGATGGAAAATATATTCTACAATAAATATTATTAAATGTATGAAAATTTTGTTATTTTCTTTCAATTCAAAAACGGACAGAACTTTCCGGTAGACCTAATATATATATATATACAACTATTAAGATAGCTAATTGTTTTAATTTTGGAAACTGGACTTACACGCCAGTTTCAAAAAATAAACTGGTCATATATGAATATTTATACTTACTTTTCGCATCAATCAGTCGTTCTCGTGGACTTAAATCTGACGAGGATAATTGCTCCTTTACTTTGGCCACGTCCTTCGGATGAAGTATGTCGAACCAACTTTGACCCAAAAGATCACCCTGATAAATATTTTTATTATTTATTTAGTATTTCTCTCGTCCAAAAATTACAATTTT